CTCTCCTCTTTCTTCATTGACTCCAATCAGTCTTATGTTATTCTTCTTTACATCGTCTAGCAGCTGCTGGATTGATTTCTCATGTTCCCTCACAATTTTAAAGCAATTTTTCTTTTTAGGAGAGGAATGTTTAGTGAGACCACCATTCAAATCTCCAAATGTATTGCCTATTGTTGAGCTGCCCACCTCCCGAATCTACAGTGAAATTTATCCATTTACCATCCATTTATAAATATGTATTAAGCACCAACCACATTCCATGCTGTTCAAGTTATTGGGGATATGATAAAGACACAGAAAAATGAGAGGGCCACCTTCCCACACCCTCCAGCACTCCTGCTGGAGGCTGGGAGCCTATCCCGCCCTCATCCACGCTACTACTGCAGACTCTGAGGGTCCTGCTCTAAAACTGCTCTGCTCTCTGTTTCTACTTCTGCCTAAGCATCAGCCCCTTGGAAGCTCAGATGTACAGAAAGCAAAAACTAGGAACTTTAGGCGAAACTCTGCCCAAACAAGAGTTCAAGGGACCTGGCCGCCATCTTGGGATGGAGAGGGAAGGGTGAGAATAGAAAGGGAAGGAAAATAATGCCAAGGAGAAAACCACCCACTCACTATACTGTTTTCTTAACTTCATAGCCCCACCTGGGGTGGGGGGAATGAAGTAACAAAATAACCCTACAGATACAGAGGTCAGACTGAATGACCTGGTGCTTCATTAAACTTCTTCGTGAATGTATTCAGTTCAGGATTTAAACACAGTGAGGTGAAGGATCCTGAAAGTGATGAAGATGAAGTTGCTTTAGAGAGAAATATTTTTAATGAAGAATACAAGAGTCATTTGTTCTGGCTCAGCAATCCTTGTATTTGGTTAATGAATAAGTGAGAACCATTTCTCCCCCAGGGGAGTAAAAATGAAATTAATAGACACTGAAGAGAAAATAACTTTTCACGCAAAGTTATAAAATTATGTAATTATTTCATTTGATTTGAAAGATGATACATTGGGGCTGGGGATTTAGCTCAGTGGTTCCACCACCTACCTCTCAGGCACAAGGTCCTGAGTTCAATCCCTGGTACCATAAAAAAAGATAGATTGTACAGTGCTCAAAGGTTTTAAGATTTTTTTTCAATAAATGATAAAAGCTGGCTTTTATGTAAATGCTGGAAATGAACTTAATAAATGTTCTGAGGGGCCAAATGAACTTATATCAGAATAAACTAAAGGTTTATAAAGGATGATTTTTATGGTACTATTTATTATCAGATCTTCACAAAGACATGTTTGTATATGATGCTAACTGCTATACTTTAGAATGCTGATCTCTTTATAAAGAGAGGAATATAAATTTATGATTATGTTCTATGTAAATTTCAGAATGAGAAAATGGAAATTTTACTTCACTTTAAAATGAAAATCAAGATCTTTATAGCTTTCACATTTTCTAATGATTGAGAAGTAATCTATTTATTCTCTTATTATAAAATGAGTCTTATGTGAAGTAGATCTGCAAAGCTGCCTACATAGGGTGAGTCTTTTCTTGTGATTTAGGCCATTGATGTACCTTCAATCTCTACCTAGGTTCTGAATAGGATTCATATAGTTAGCCAGTTCTCTGCAATTTTTAAGTATAAAAATGCATAGCATGGTTTTTGAAGGGATGTATCTTAGGGTATTGTTTCTAGAAAGCTTTGAGGACCAGTAAGTATTGATGTGAAAAATACAGAACTCTGAACATCAGTTTAACTTCTCCCCTACAGATATTTTTGCTGAGATTATGAAGATGATGGAAAGATTTAACTTTTTTAAATTTCAATTTTCTTTTAGAATTTTGTGGTCATGTATGTGTAACCTTCAAGATCAAGCTAGAATAGAAGTGTGGGGTATGTGTGTGCGTGTGTGTGTGTGTTGTGTGTGTGTGAGACAGACAGAAAGACAGAGACAGAGATAGAAATATTCAGTAATTGTATATTGTTTTGAAGTTGAAAAAACCACATTCAGCTTCCCAAGATTTATGGTTAATCTGTGATAATCAATAGATAATTGTATGTCAGACTTTGTTCTGCTAAATACAGAATTACTAGGAACAATAAACTCCTTTGGCTTTTAACCATTTTATTCTTACCTTTTCATATTTTGATGCAAGAATGTTCCCATCATGCATCTATATTGTAAAATACATTGACATTATTTTTTCCTGCAGTGCGCACACCCCAAATTTACCTCATGTATACCAACAGTGTCTCAGAGCGACTGGCCAAACTCAAGTTGATTTTCCAGGCCTCCCTGTTAGATGTAAAGCTCATAAAGAAAACAAGAATTGTTTTATCCATCCATTTGTCTGTCCATCTCACCTGCTATTTGCCAGTCACTCTTTAGGCATAGTACTTGAAAGCATTGGTGAACATTTTGGTATAAAAATCCAATTTATGGAAAATAAAACCATTTACCGCTAATATCTTGTGCAGTTCAAAGTGAAAACAACCTGATTGCTTTCTAAGAAACAGACATTTCTATGCGGAAGCATAATGTAAAAGGATATTTATTTGAACTCAGGACCTTGTGCCTGAGAGGTGGGCGGTGGAACCACTGAGCTAAATCCCCAGCCCCAATGTATCATCTTTCAAATCAAATGAAATAATTACATAATTTTATAACTTTGCATGAAAAGTTATTTTCTCTTCAGTGTCTATTAATTTGATTTTTACTCTCCTGGGGGGAGAAATGGTTCTCGCTTATTCATTAACCAAATACAAGGATTGCCGAGCCAGAACAAATGACTCTTGTATTCTTCATTAAAAATATTTCTCTCAAAAGTAGCTTCATCTTCTTCACTTTCAGGATCCTTCACCTCACTGTGTTTAAATCCTGAACTGAATGCATTCACGAAGAAGTTTAATGAAGCACCAGGTCATTCAGTCTGACCTCTGTATCTGTAGGATTATTTTGTTACTTCATTCCTCCCACCCCAGGCGGGGCTATGAAGTTAAGAAAACAGTATAGTGAGGAATGCAGATGACTATTAAAATTATTCATAAGAAAATTGCTACAAGGCTAGGGATGTAGCTCAGTGATAGGGCACTTGCCTAGCATGTAGCAGACCCTCGGTTTGAGTCTCCATACCCAAAAAGATAAATAAATACAATTAGTACAGAAATGCAACACCCCAAAACTGAAAGTACAAAAAAATCCCATGTTTCTTTACACAAGGCTCTTCACATCTAAACCCCTCAAATCTAACACTGACACTTAATTATTTGATATTAAGAGAGGAGTTTCACCATCCAGAATTAGAGCTCTGGTAATGAAACAAGAGTGTAATGACTTCCCCATTGCTAAACCTGCAATTTGGGTAAATGTTTTGATTATGATAAAATTCTTAGTGAAAATTCTAGAACACAAATAAAACAGTCTAAGAAGAGCTAAGCTTGATTGATCAAAATGCTTAGAAACAGGGGTTCACTTGTGAGACATGGCCCGTTATCAATGACTCCAACATCTTTTTGGGGACTAAGTTCCTGATTCCAGCAAACCAGATCAATGTTAACTTCTTACATTTGGGCAGAGGAATGGTATTTTGCTTTCTTAAAGGTTTTTCTTTTATTATAATTAGTCAAGGCATCTAAAATATTATAATACTTGAAAATTTACCAAATAGCATACTAAATATACAAAATGTGTAATTCAGCTACAGGGTTCTTCAAAAACCCCAATATTATGTGGCTCAGTTTCACAAAATTAAACTCCCATTTCACTGTCTCTTCTATTTTCAAGATTATTTTTTACAGTGTCTCTTCCAGGACATCATTTTATCGTTATTTTTTAAACCTCGGCATTGAAGGTTTCTGCTTTTCTTATCCCCATCCCAGATGTTACAACAGTTTCTCCTCTCATGGTGAATTTAAAATTGGAGTGAAACTTACTTTCTTGTATTGCATTAAGAATCTCTGAAAAGTCCACATCACTCCTTGGGCCGTCAGGGAGTATTTGCATATCCAGCTGGTAGCCTTGCAAATCCACACCTCCTTCTGGAGAAATGAAAGATATTCACGGAGTTTGGATCGGGTATCAGAGAGCCCAGTGCTCGGGCCCAAGGAGAAGCAATGTGAAAATCCAAAGGAACAGCTAGTTTATCCTCCTACTTGGATAAACGACTTGAAAAAAAAAAGAAAGCAACAACAGCAGCAAAACAAAACAATAACCAACAAAGAAGACGAGGAACAAACACATTCCATTTGTTCCTTATGGAACAAAAAATGCTCAATTCAATTTCCAATGCAAAAATAAACCAACTAATTTTTTTACAATAAGACATACTTCATAGTGTTTACTGAACATTTCCTGGCTGAACAAGATAACATGTTAACTTCCACTCAAGGACATTTAAAATTCTTTTCAGCTGCGTGAGGATAAAAAGTGACATTCAACACAAATGCATCATACTACCATTTTCTTCCAAATTATAATAATTCATTCTTTAGGAAGGACTTTAATGTTCTTGATAATACAGTATCAATATTTTTCCCTCACATTTGGACCTCCCTGTTACATCTTTTATTTTTCAATTATACCAGAATCTTGTTATTTGTTCTATGAAATAATTACACCCCATGCAGTAGGTTTGTGTGATGATTTGGGTGTGTTCTCAACAAAGAAGGTCTCAATACTCGGGGAGGCAGAGGCAGGACGGCTGCAAGTATGAGCCCAGCCTGAGCAATTTGGTGACTCAGTGAGACCCTGCCCCATAGTACAGAGAGCTGGAGACGTAGTGTGGAGCAAATGTCCTGGTTTCAATCCTCAGTACTGGGGAGAAAAGGTTTTCTGCTGCTCCGTATACTTACAGAACATTCAAGGAAGTCAAAGAACCAAACTATCGAGAAGTAGCTTTATCATTAACAGTCACACACTTTCTCAGTGGTTCTTAGTAAGAACGTGTCCAATTTGAGGAGTTGGCAAAAGCAAAAAGCCAATGCTAAAATAGATACTGATGTGGCCTGATGAATAAAATGGGGCATGCCCTAGCTACAGGAATCTTCATAGAAATGATCCCTTTCTGAGCTCAAAAAGTATACTTAATCTTACTGGTTACATTCCTAAAATCCAGGAAGAAGACACAATCACTGCTTCAGATGGATACTCATTCTAGGAGGAAAATGCTCACAATTAATAGAGTGGAAGGTGAGCTTCAGGTGGGCAGGGACTTAGCACCTGGAACAGTGCCTGGCACACAGGACGCCCTCAGAAAACATGGGCCGGATGAATGAAAGAGGCCCTGCAGTAATCATGAAACAAATACCCAGGGCTACAAGCAAAGCTCTGAGCTCAGATTCTAGAGTCACAGAGACCAGCATCAGAACTCTTTAGGTCACCCTGAAACTCTCTAAATCTTAGTTTCCTTGTCTATAAAATAGGAATGATAATTACAGACTCACAAAGCATACATGAGGATTAAATGAAATAATGCACAAAAAAGCTCTTAGCTGTCAGAGTCCATTCTCAATAAATGGAAGCAACTGTATTATTATCTCCATCCATGACAGCCATTACAGCAGCACTGGCATTCATGGAGAGAAAATCCTGCTACTGAACACAGCCACTGTCAAAAACCACTGTTGAAAGCCAGTCCCCAGGGACCTTAGCATGCAGACACAGTGGTGAGCTTTGACAAACTCTGCTCTGCAGTTACCTGGAGGACAGCTTCTCAGACAGGACATGCAAAGATACCTCCCTTCGGGCCTCAATTAAAACAGGTTGATTGTCTTTCTTCCCATGGACAGATGCTTGAAAGAGCTAGAGCAAGGTCCTCACATGTTTCAATGTCTTTGCTGGCTGGGCAGTCACTGCATCCTGTTCAGTGGTCAGAGCTCACAGTGGCAACAAGGAAATAATAAGACTATTCAGCGCTGCCCTTCTGCCGGGCTCTGTGCTGTGTCTTTTATCTTCTCCATCTTTAACCTTGGAAAGGAGGGGCATTGGGATGGAGCAACATGTTCCAAGTCACACAGACCCTGAGGTACACAGAGGCTGCGGCTTCATGCTCTTACCAATTAGGCTTTAATACCACCCGTGTCGAAGCTCTCACAAATGCACACTACTGAAAATAAGAGATTGGATTTACAGAATAAATGTAATAGCACCCCATAGAATAACCCCACAGTCTAATCCTTCAGATCAAGACAAATCCACTGCATGACTAACAAAACAGTGACTCCCTAGAATGCACTAATACCCAGAAGTTCAAGTTATTTATTCCTTGTCACTTTCAGGAGCTCATAAATCCACGCCAGAAGTAGGTATGACTGCTAAATAACTACAGTTTTTAATAATTACAATTTTATGAAGTTTTAATATTTTTTTTAAACCATGGGTCAGTATAGAAGCATAAGAAGACACAAAAGAAACAACATAAAGGAGGCATATAGACCATTACATTCTACATTTAAAGAATATTTAGGGACACAAGCAAATGAGAAAATTATACAGGCATTCAATACTATAGAAAAAGGGATGATACTTATAGTGTCACAACCTTATAGTTTAGGTATAGGTATGCCCTAAGCATATTTAAAAAAAAACTAGACTAGAAAAACAGTCAGGAAGAAAATATTCCAAATGGGTACAGAAGTTATTACCTGCTGTGAAATTATGGGTAGTTTTTGTCTTGTTTTATCCTTTATCTTTTCTATATTTTTCACAAAAGCATAAAGCATTTTTATAACTTAAAAGACATTAAAAAATTCAGACTGAAACAATGAAATATAATAGTAATTAGAGTTCAGAATTCAAGATCTAAAAGGCTACAAATACTACACCATATATATTAAATATCCAATTTAATGCAAGTCTTAAACTGTGTAAATCAAACAGCTCCAAACTGTAGGATGTCACATCCTTTTCACGATAAACATAAAGACTACATTTGGAATCTCCAATATATAAAGCATTTCTGACCCTCTGCTCTAGAATACAGAATCCACTTTCATAAAGAGAATGTCAGGGCTGGAACTTCTAGCGGTAAGCCATTCTTTAAATCCTGGAGTGACAAAGTACGGGGTGTGGTAAAACAAGAACTTTCCTAACTGGAGGTGATCAGTGTGGGAGGACATCTTCAGAGGAATCCCTGAGACGACAATCAACACTGCCTAAGTCAAAGGAACTCGGTGACTTCTGTACATGGAATGTGACATGTCTACTTTGTATTTTTTATATTTATTTATCATTAGGCATATAGTTGTGATATCATTTCTAAAATATTAAGAATCCAAGTTCTTCCCCATAGTCAAAGATATCTCTAACACTTGGGAGGCAGAAGTCTGAGGCAGGACGATTGGTGCAAATTCAAGGCCAGCCTGAACTACATAGGGAGACCTTGTCTCAAAAAACAAAAACAAGGGCTGTGGATTTAGCTCAGGGGTTCCACCGCCTGTCTCGCAAGCGCAAGGTCCCAAGTTCGATCCCCGATACCAAATGCCTCCCCCAACCAAAATTAGAACAAAACAAACAAAATACCACAAAGCTATAAAGCAGTAGAGGAGAGGTTGAAGATGTCACAGTTTCAGAGTGGTACTCTTTAAATTATGACCTCAAAAAGTCCTAGTAAGTAACATGCAACAAAGTGCAACACCAAGGAAACTAAACAAAAATGTTGCATAAGAAGGAAGCTAAAAAGATTCCTCAAACATGTGAAAAACATACCGAACAATTTTTAAAAATTAAAATTGCTATACAATCCATCTGACCTCCCAAATCAGCTTTAGCTTTTCTCATGCGTGATGAATCGGAGTGGTTATACTGAACTCTTCAGGGCAATTTTGTGGGGTGAGCAATGTTTAAAATAAAGCCAACTTTGATAATGGCATTTACATTTAATAAAAGGTCTTCAGTAGGCAAATAATAGTTTAAAATTCATTTTAGACTTTTATCTAACTTGGATTTTAGCTAAGCACAAGAGGAACAACAACAAAGAGCTCTAAATATGAGTTTCTCAATTAGCAAATATACCAGCGTCTCTCCCATTTCATCTCTGTAAAGACCCACCTCCAATTCTCTGCTTCAGGAAGATCCTAATAAGTAAATGCCACTTTTCAGTCCACTGAGCCCACAGCTACTTATGTTTTATCCTTTCCTATATATGCTTCCCATTTTTAAAAGGCAGGTGAAGCATTTACCAGAGTATGGAGCAGACAGGGACAGCAGGAGACCCTAATTCTCCCCACCTAGGTCGTGTCCTCATTGCTTGCACCCTCACCTATGGGAGCACATTGCAAGCTAGGAGCAAATCGCATCCATCTTTGGTCTCCTACCAAACCTAGAACAAGACTTTGAATATAGTCATTGCTCACTTAATGCTTTTTTACTGTAATTTCACATTATAATAATAGATACAGACTACAAAAATGCTCCAGTTTTTCTTCCTAATCTACTATTTAAAGCATCTCAAGATGCCTGTGAAAAACATATGCTAGATCATGTTTTTCATAAAGTCTTTAAAAATTTTTATCAAATAATAAATAAAATCTCAAAGTACCAAAGGGCTTACAGTGAACCCAACAGCTGCCCCTTTTACAATCCCAGTTTTTTCCCCAGAATGACCATTTTAAAATTTCTGTTGGATACTTACCCAGGAAATCAATATGCTTAGCTATTCTACTAGATTGCCTTTATTTAATAACTTTAAAACATTATTTACAATTCCTTTCTTCTTCAATAAAATATAGACAGATCTTATATTTGCAAATTAACACAAAATGGTATAAAATAGATTTTCACATCTGGATTTGAATTCCACTTTTATATGACTTTGAGCCATTAAATAATATGCCTCATTTATAAAATAGAATGAAATTGTTGGAGGCTTTAAAAAGACTTATATATGTAAATAATTTGGCCCATTGTATTATATCATGGTGGTTCACTAAAACAATTTTATGACATATTCCTTCTCGAAAAATGAGGGCCTGTAGTAAATAAATGAGGGCCTACAGTAAATAAAAACAATTTGATTAAAAAAAAATAAATCCTGTATGTT